TACATATTTGAGAGAACAATTCAGTTTTTTGATCCTTTAGATATTCTTCCATCTCCCTGTGGATACGACACCCTAAAGTTGTGCTACCACTACCGCGTTATTCTTTGGGCGTAATCAAATTTTGGCGCCGAGAATCGACTACAAAAGGGTGACATCGTTCCTTTTATTTTGTTTTTAGTTAATTTAATTTTTTATTGTATTTTTTCTATTTTCACTTTAGTTTCTTTTACTTTTTCTATGAGCAGGTATCGAGGAGAACAAGGACGATCTGCGGACACACCCGACACAGAGTTTGAACATCTTTTTAACCCTACTTTTGATTCTATATCTGTTAAAACTGACACTTCATCACATAACACAATGTCTTACAATGAGCATGATGTACCGTATAGAACTTTGCATGATTATCTGCACCTCACGCATACATCTACACCTTCATGTATTATGTTTCCAACCAACATGCCACGTGTAGATTTTAAACATGGAATGATTCAACTTCTTCCTAACTTTCATGGACTTGAGAATGAAAACCCGTATGTGCATATTAGGGAATTCGAGGAGGTTGTAGCAATCTTNTTCTTCCTAACTTTCATGGAATTGAGAATGAAAACTCATACGTGCATGTTAGGGAATTCGAGGAGGTTGTAGCAACCTTCCACAATCAACACGGTACAATGAATGCAATTAGGTTTAAATTTTTCCCATTTTCTCTTAAAGAAAATGCTAAAAGCTGGTTGTATTCATTGAGACCACGTTCGATTGGAACTTGGGCTGAAATGACCCAAGTATTCTTTAGCAAACATTTTCCCCACCACAAAACTATTGTGTGGAAAAATCTCTTCTTTTATCCAAAAGGAGAGTGAAACTTTATATCAAGCATGAGAAATGTATAAAGAACTCTAAGCTCTTTGCCCCCATCATGGCTATGAGAGTTGGCGTATCGTGAACTATATTTATGAAAGGTTAACATTTAGGAAGCGTCAATTTATAGAGATGATGTGTAATGGTAAATTTTTACAGAAAAATTCTGATGAGGCTATAGAATATTTAGATGAACTAGCAGAACAAGCTCACACTTGGACTGACCCTAGTGTCACTGATAGCACCAATAGGTCACGAGTTATAGGAAATCCTTCTAGTGTAGCCATTTATCA